GTCCTGCCAGAGCCGCCAGACTTCCCCGTGCCCGGCAAGGAGGACACCTTCCATTTGCTTGAGAAAATGTTTTTTGTTGTTTTTTCATTTTCCCTTGTTGGTTTTAAAAGGAATTTGTCACTACTGGAAATATTTTCATTTTTCCAGGGGTCTTAACCAAATTCAGGACACAGATTGGCTCGCATTTTGGAGCCTTTGTTCTCACGCATGGGGGCGAATTTTTAGTGTTCCGATAGGAATGAAGCCGAGTTTTGGAAGGGTCCGGGTGGAAGAAAGGCAGATGAACAGCAAAGCGCCGACAAGTCACTGTGACCTAAAGTTGAGCTCGCAGTCAGCGATGTCCAGGGGTTAGTTATTGCCGCTTGATCCTAGTCATTTGAAGCACGGTTGTCTTGTAGACGACCGGAATCCGCATTCAACGAGCACTTGGCCGAAATGAACATGTGTATGCATTAGTTTGCCGCTTGATCCTAGTCACTTGAAGCAAGGTTGTCTTGTAGACGACCGGAATCCCCATTCGACGGGCACTTTACGCATCTTCTGGGATCCACACCTCCCTGCTTGATTCTTGACCCGGAAAGCCTATGGCTCCAAAAAAATCATCCGGAAAGTCGATGTGCCAGGACTTCACCATCACCTTTGGGCCCTGTGCCAACCTCATGATCTACACAGGCGCAGTCGGGGCCGTGATTCGAGGCCATGAAAAGCGAGGCCCGGCCTCGGGTCTTAGCTTTTGGGGTTGACGAAGTCCATGAGATGCGGCTGCGCCGGAGGGAAGCAAGGAAGGAAAGGGAAGGGAAGGAAAGGAAAGCAAGGGAAGGGAGCAAGCAAAGGAGCGAGCCAGCTAGCAGGTAAGGAAAAGGTTCCATACTACATCCATATTTGGGTGTGGGTCAAAAATAGCCACCCAGAATGCAACCCTGGTAAATGGAAACATGGACTAAAACCTGCGGTCCCCTGTTGGTTCAATTTTGACCCATACCCACCCTACGTGGCCATGCCACGTTTGCGCCTGCCACCCTTGAACGGGAGGCGGGGTGGCCTGCTGCCTGCAGCGCTGCCCGAACTTTGAGAAGGTGAAGCCAAAGCTGCGCCGGGCGCCCGAGTTGGTGCAACGAGTTGGTGCCATGTGTCGGCTTATTTTCAAGGCAAACCAAAGGGAAGCCACCATTTACCTAGAGCACCCAAACCCTGAAAAAAGGCAGGGTGTGCCAAAAAGCTGGATTTTCAATTTACACCCTGCATTTTGTTCAGGGTTTAGTCGCACTAGGTAGGAGGGGCTCCCAAATTTAAGCCACCCGGACATGAAGAGGGGAGGGCGGCGACACCTGCAAAGGGCCAAAGCATGGAAGCTGAAAGAGGGCCCAGTGCTGTCACAGAACTCCCAGGTCCCAGGTTCCATGTGTTGTCCGTTGGGAAGGCAACTGCAATGAGATGGGGTACATTCGCACCGAATTCAATCATGATCATGAGCGAACCATTCATGCAAGCATTGAGCCTTACATGTTGTCTGCCAAGATTTGCCTTAGTCAGACCTTTGGTTCTCAAACCTCAGCCAGCAATTGCCTCATGATCCAAAGCCCGAAACCTTCCATTGTGCCGACAAGTCTTTGCTCCTAAAATATCCTGCGTGTCTTACATCCTCAACATGTACTCTGCTCAAAGGGTTCTCCAGTGAGCCTTGCGTGTGGCAAGCCTAGCAACAGCATATCCAAAAGCAACAATACCCCCCCCGGCAAAAAAAGTGGAAGTCTTTGTTGGAGAAAACATGTCTTCCACAGGGCCCACTTCAGGTCCCACGTTTGTGCAGAGGATGGCATGTTTCATCCTTTTTTTTCTTTGGCCCATTGGCCACCGAAGGCATCATTCAGGCATCTGTCTCCCAAGCTGCCAGAATGTTACGCTTGGATGCTCCCGCTTTGTAGATGACACATCCAAAATCCCATCATCCACTCTTCCTGGGGACGTGCTTCTGGGGACTTAGCCCCCCTTAGGACGGCCATATGGGTGTGGGTCAAAATTAAACCACCAGGAATTGGACCACAGGTTTTAGTCCTTGGTTCCATTTACCAGGGCAAGCCATTTTGGGTACCCCTTTTTGACCCACAGCCATCTCCCCTCCACGCCCGGGGTGCGAGCTCAAGCTCCAGCCCAGGATTCCACGGCAACTCCTGTGGAGCATTCGTAGCTTCCGTGATGGCGGCGGACGTGGAGATGCTGGAGATGCTGCCGGAGACGGGTCGGCCAGGGTGAGGGTCGTGGGTGTGGCTTAGAATTGAACAGCTGGGGTTATCGCAGGTCTTATTCTTTGCTTCCGTATACTAAAGTACCATTTTTGGTTACCACTTTTGTGAGCCACCTTTTTGGTTACCACTTTTTGAGCCACAGCCGCATGAAGACACGAATGCTTACGGTGTCGACTTTGGTGAAGGGTCGTGGGGAGTTTTATGCAGGGCCCTGTTTAAGGATGCACCATTCAGGTTTTTGCATTGAAGGATGGGAGAGCATGCTCAAACTTTGTGAGCCGTTGCCCTCCCAACCGGCGTGGCAAAAGATGGGGGGCATTTTTGTTGATCACTGAGAGGACGGGCCAAAGGAGGATGGGCCAGTGAAGCTCCATTGAACCTGGGGATGTTTGCTTTCCCCGTTAAGGTGTGGGTGATGTGTCTTGCGGTTCCTTGCCAACGCCAAGTAGCGTTTTGAGACACACCCAGTCTGAGCCAGGACGAGTGGGTGCTAGCCTTGACTGCCACCGGGTTGGATCTTTAGACTTCAACTTTTCGGGAAATAAGGGTGTTTTCCACTAACCCACCAAAAAGTTAAACCTTTTGCAGGGGGGTCAACAGCAACCAAGTAACCTAAAATTGACCGTTCCCTGATCGGGGGCCTTTGGCAACTGTGGTAGGCACCAACAAAATCCGGCCTAATGTTGGCTACGGCTGCCTGGTGGACATCGAGCACTTTTCAGAAGTTACTCATGCTGTGAGGCTTGTTTTCCGGGCTGCGACTTTCGTTTATGTTGTTCTACTTTTGGATCTCTGAAACCTGGCTTGTTTCTGATCACATCCTCACGTGGTTCAGGTTTCCAGCCAGAAGTTTGTTGCCGAGATAGTGGCATGGCGCTTTCTGGCCGGGGTTGGATACCTGCCTTTCCAAGAATCATGGCAGCTGACAGCAGCTTTTTGGGACAGCTGACTGGTTTTTTCTGGCAGACAGTACAGTCTTTCTGATAAGGCCGGCAGCCCACTTCAATTTTGGACAGGGGATAGGGATCAGCGCTTTCTACCAAGACCAACCCCTTCTTTCAATCAACAGTTGTTCGAATCACCCTCCTTTGGATCCCCTGAAATTTTGGGTGAAGGGGGCTGCTTAAACATATTGCACCAACATGCACCAAGCACCTGGCTGCGTGGCGGCTTCGCCGCGCGCAGGAGATGATCTCGTGGACGAAGCGTTTCAAGTACCGCCTCTGGGGCTTGGTGGGCGCCTACTCTGCGAGCATCACGGCAATCGCTGCTTGGCCAGTGATCAGAGGCAAAAGCCGCGGGCAACGGGGCCTGTATCAAAAGAAGGGCGGGGTTTTCCAATGCGTTTGTCTTCCTGAATTTATGGTTTCCCTTTAAACCCCCACAAACGCAAGCCAAAGGACCAAAAGTAAACGACCCGCCAGGCACCCGACCCCCACGACTGGTTCTGATTGACGAAGCAGACCTTGCCTTGCGGGGGTTTTCTCCATCTAAAGAAAGCACATGATCAACTCACTCCCCGAGCTCGTGCACTTTATGCATTTTTTGGGGAAGACCATGTCGGTGAACAAAACGTTCAGCGGTTTTTCGGCCCATCTGAGTCAACCCAAGGGCTGGAAATCCTCTTCGTTTTGCCTTTGCGGCCACTTGGGTGGAACCGAAACGTCACGCAAGCCCAGCCCCACTCCACCGGCGGCCGTGAGGTGTGGCGCATCTTCTCGCGGGAGGAGAACTTCCGGCGAAGCAAAGACCGGCTGAGCGTGGGGGTCACCACCTGGGAGCCCGTCCCCGGCCGCCGATGCATCGCCCCTCGTTATCGATCTCTGCGCGGGGCGGAGGGTCAGACGAGGGAGGCGACAAGCCTTCGGTTTTATCAAAAAAGAGGGAGATCATCGAACTCAATGCGGTTTTTGATCATCCAACCAAATGGGATAGGTTGGGATCTGCCAGGACCCACTGCCAGCTATGAGAATCGCTGAGATAGGATATGTGAGCTCATCCGTTGGGCCCTTGGAGCAACTGATCCCCAGCCAAAGTAATCGCAACCTGTTGGTCATGCATGCTCATGTCCTTCGAGGCGGCGGCAAAAACATGCAAAACCCCACGGGTTTTGCTACACGGGTTGGTCAGTCGCTCAGGACAGCTTCAGCAACGTGCAGGAGCTGGTCACTGCTGTGCCCGGCACTTTGTAGGCGCCGAGGCGACAGGCGTGGGGTCCTTCTGCTGAAACGCGCTTTTTTGGGGGAGGCTTCCCCTACTAAAATAGACCACAGAAAAAAGGGTACCCTTATGTGAGGCCCTTATGTACCCTTATTCTAGCCTGTTTACTGGAGGACCTAGTTAAAGAAAGCCCGTTTTTGTTCCCCAGTATTGAGAACCCATTCGGTCCGGCCGGGCTTACACCTTTGAAAGACTTCCAGTACAGTTTGTCAGCCGGCGGCTATGGATCGGGCGATTCGCTGTGCTTCGCTTCTGGCACGTGCGTACAATCACATACGTAGGTGTCCTGTCGTCCTTTTTGTAATTGGCCATAGTTAGGTTCCCCCGGTAGTGCCCTTTTACCTTCTTTTGGGGGAGGGTTCCCCTACGAAAAAGGGTACCCTTATTCTAACCTCTCTACTGGAGGACCTAGATAGTATCACAATGGAATCGAACTGCCAAGCCAGCTGCGTGTGGCTCAGGTTGGGCAGTTGCTACATCCCCGTGGCGTTTGAGGCGCGGATGCGTTGCCTCTTGATTCGACCTTGTTGCGCAAGCAAATGTTTAAAGAACCAGACCTTGGGGTCGTTGGGGTTTAAACCGCTTGATGCCAGGGGGGTTGGCTCAATCCTCTTGCCTGAGGTGTTTATTCGGACAGGTGAAGAAAGGGCGGCGTGTTCAGCTCGATGGAGTTCCAACTTGTTGGGCTATCCCTTTCCATGTTCAATGCAGGGAGATTCTACCAGCCTCGCATTTGTCCCCGATTCCTCAGCCTCACTCGCGGCTTAGAGGCCTACAAAGGGGGGGGGGGACGGATATTTGGGTACTTAGAAATTCCTTCCAACTGTTGTTTGTGCTTTCCGGCAGGTTGCCAGAGTCCCAGAGTCACGATGGCCAACTTGCGGCTTTTCAAGTCAGGGACGAATCCAGATGAACGAATCAGACACAGGGAAAGGGGGGCAGTGCCATGTGCAGCTTCCATCCGCGGACCTTTCCTTGCAGGACCTTTTGTTGTCCAAACATATGTCTTCATCGCAAGCGGAAGCTGCTCATCAGAGTGTTACCCACCCTCTCTTCAGAAGACACGCCCAGAGCTCATGGCTCACGCAATTGTTTTGGCGATTTGCGTTCCGATGATTTGCACATCACTAGGGATTGACAAGTCAAGGGTTTGAAAACCGTCGACCTAGGCATGATCTCTCCTCCATAATGGATCCATGATTATGTAGTCTGGGAAGTCAACGATGCTTCCTTGAACTTGCCGTTTCCAGCTGGCGGCTGGAACATCACATTTCAGGCTCCATTGGGCAAAGTATAACAAGCTCATGTGCAGTAAGGCGAGATCACCCATGAAGAAGGTCCTTCACATGGGGACTCCACTTTGTGAATCGGAGTGAGTGGCCCAGACCCATACCCTCCCACCGTTTTCTACGTGCTTTACAAGGGAAATGCTTCGAGGACCCACCGAACGTCAAGTTCCATGTAAAAACGGTGGGAGGGTACCTGTTCCAACACTACTGAGGTTCCTCAGTGGTCGCAGGAGCACGGCCTGGAACTTAGGCCTTGGGCGGGCGGTGACCTCAGACCCCAAATGGTAATTTCACGTGTACTTCCATGTGCCATTTTGTGGTTGCTCCTCCACATTTTGCCAAGGGATGTTAGGACTTTAACTTTTTGCCAACTAGTGGGTTGTCCATTAACCACTAAAAATTAAGCTGTTAGCAGGGGAGCAGACGCAACCGAGGTTGGAAGACCGCGTAAATGACATTGGCGACTCAAAAAAGGCCCCAAAGTCCTAAAGTGGTGGGCTCTGCCGTGCAGCTTAGGCTGGCGGTTTAATTCAGCGCGGGGTGAAACGCAGCAGAGTGTTCCAGCGGTTCGGTGGTTCAACCCAGTTGACCTCGGGCTGCGGAAAAGAAAAGGAAACAAATAGAATGTCACAACCTGGTTCGCCGTTGTTCATGTTTTTTTCGGTCACTGTCAGGGAGTGGCTCAAAAATATGTCACATTTGCAGAGTGGCACAAACCGCAGTCACTTCATATATAGTTACTGAAAATGGTGTCACAGTGACTGAAATCAACACATATATGCATTATATGCAGATGTAATGGATGCATATAGTGCACTAGACCGCCATGGTTTCCCTTCACGTGCGCATCTTTTTCGCTCGGCTCGCCATGATGGATCTGCAGCCGTGCCTGGCAGCCGAGAGGACGGGATATAGCTTTACGTTATGTGCCACGAACATGCATAACATTGCATGCATGCATGCACGCATACAGTTTTCTCGTAAACATGTACGTACCTATGCATATAGGTCACACGCGTGAGTTCGGCCACCCGTTTGCAGGATTTGGGGCAGCGTGTACATCATCATCGGATGACGCAAAGGCGCGGGAGTTGCCGAGAGGGAAGCGTTGAAGATCAAGGGGAACACAAATGGAACGCGCGCATCCATGCCTATAGCTATAAATCCGATCGTAATGGACTTTCGGAATGCATCAATTGTCCCTTCTGAACCCCGTGCTGGTCAAACATATGCGGATCCCTATGTGGTCCATTTTTGTGGAGCCTCCTCTAAGTCTGTGATGAAAGCAAGTCTGAGCGTGTTTGCGCACGAGCACTAACAGAAGTTAACGCGAATTCTATGCAATGGTTTGCCCAAGCCTTTAGAGACGTACGGGGTCAAATTCATGTACGCGTGGCTCCAACTTCACTTAGACACACGCAGATGTAAACTGAACCCTCACGCTTACTTCACGGAACTTCATGAGTATACTTCACCCTACTGAACCCTATTGTATGGTTCCATGAGCACCCCTGGCTACCTGTTTTCCACCCCCCGTCCAGGGCCAAACTATAACAGCCCTTTGCGAAGATTTCTCTCCATTGTCTCATGTGCGTGTTGCATTTAGACATGCGCAGAATACACCCGGATTTGAGGAAATATCGGCCGCGCATTGATTCCCATGGTCAATGATCTTGCAGTCTTATGTATTTCCACCGGTTTGTTGCAATCGCCCATCATGAAGCGTATAGTATAAGCAGATTTAGGGTTACAACTCAGTGCATGCATGCGGTTGTCCCACCACGCATGGGTCTTCTTGAGGCTTCAATCCATGTGCCATGTGTACATATATATATATATCATATTTTACATATATATATATATATCAAAGATAATATCGTATTACATATACACATATATGGATGCCTATGCGTGTGCTTTGATTGCGGCAACTCAAAAGGCCCCACGCACATGCCAAATCATCAGCGGTTGACGAGAGACATTTGGCTTATCCTGCTTTGCTTGGTCGTGGCTTGCATGGCACGGCTTGAGACGGACAAGGTGCTGGTGGACACGTGGGAGGCCAGCTCGACCATCAGGCGTAGGTTCAAGGGGGACAAAGCATGGCTTTTGCTTCCACCTAGCAAAGATCCTGAACAAGATGAAATGGAGAGGCCGATGAGCACGCGCTCTTTGGCCTTCAACAGCTCTGCAGTTGCAGCTTTGATTCGGCGCTTTGCGCCGCGCAAGCTCAAGGTGCGGATGCTTTTGGGCCCGATCAAGAGCCTTTATCATGTGATGGGGGCCCAGGCGGATCGCCGCCAGACGTACGTGGATGCATGGGTGCTACGCAGGCTCTACACCTATGCCCGCAGGAGACAGCAAGATGCGGCTAAGAGAAACCAAACGCCGCGCGAACCATGCCTGCACCTTGAGTTTGAATATGCATATAATGTATAAATTATATTTGTATACTTGTTCCCTACATATTCCCGTATGCATGCTATGTTTCTTGATTTCTGCTGCTCACGCCAACATGGATCGATATCGTGTGGTCGCTTTTCGGACATTTGAGGATGAATCGGTGCGGGAGATCTTTCAGCTGCTGCGGGACTTTGGCCATGGGCCCTCTCGAGAAGATGAGTGCGACGAGGACACGGACGAGGACGGCGAGTCCGGCGAGTCCGAGTCGGAGGAAGAGAAAGACCCGGAGCTTTCTCCTGAGGAGGGCTCTATGGAGAACGTGCGTTTCGTGGGAGAGGAGCTGAAGGACCGCGTGTTGACGTGTTGATGCATGAATATATATATATATATATATATAATAGTTCAAAACCATGCATGCGCTACAGTTGGGGCACCATAATGCAACTCGATCGGATCAATACATATGCAGGGTCAACTTGTTTGTCGGCGCATCTGGAACTCTGGAGGAGCTGGAAGGCAAGTCTGAGGCGGAGCTGCGAGGCAGCAGGAGGCCACGGTGGCGGAGGATGTGAAGAAGCAGGAGGCACGGTGGCGGAGGATGTGAAGAAGCAGGAGGCCATCAACGATGAAGACCAGCTGCAGCTCCAAGCTGAACTCGACCGCCTTTTGAAGGACATTGAGATCGCTGAGAGGCTCATGCCCCAAAGCGTATATTATATATATACCCGTACATTGCATATTGGTTCTGCTCATTGGAAAAGATTTGAGGCCATATGGAATCCCACCTCATTGCAAATATATAACGCACATGCACATGCATTGAAACACTATATGCATGCATGATGGATAGTTTAAACTTCCATTGCGGCAACATATGTGTTTGACTTGGGTGCCCATGTTCTCTAGCTTCATGCCCTTGCAGGCAGAATGCATTGGAGGGCGTGGCTGCGGGCGCTGATGCCGCCACTGTTGCTGGCGAGGAGTCATGCAGCAAGCTGACCGAAGGCCGTAAATCGGGGTGCTACGGTCGATGCATGATCCTATAGGTGTTTTTTTGAGTTTAACAAAGGCGCCTTCACGCGCTCTTATAAATGCCAATATGCATGGAATGTTTCACAGCCCCCTCGCCGAATCGACTGTTCCCACCTCTATGCGTCGTGTGTGCATCTTGCCCAACCCAACCACAAAAGTTATGTAAGATCGCCGCATGGCCTGTTCCCTGCTAGGTCATGGGCCACCAACACAAAAGCCTTCATCGAAAGCACCAGCCAATCCGGACC